GGTGGCAAAAGGGCATTCCTTCAATGGCGTGCACAATTGTTAACACAATGGAATATCTCTTTCCATCTAAAGAATAATCTTCTCAGAAACTCAACCACTATATAAGCTCATTCCTAAACTATGAAGCATCCTGTGAATCTCAGAGAGCATTTTCTAGAACCTTGTGTCAGTCTGAGCCCTTCCTGATTAAGTGTCCTTAAAGTGATAGAAGCTTAATATTATATATTGATATTGGTTCCTGTAAATACAGTAATTTTATCTCCTGGAGGATCCTTTATCTCTTTTGTTTGACCTTTCGTTTTGTTTTAGACTAGGCCTTGCTGTGTAGCACTTGTTGGTCTGGATCTCTCTATGTAGCCCAGAGTATCCTCAAACTTGTTCTCTTCTTCCTGCCTCAGCTTCCAGAGTGCTGGGATTACAGGTCCTACACCTTGCTTCTAATTTTACATTTTCTTTTCTTGAAATAAAGACTCAGTATGCCCCTTGATCCACCATGTAACTAAGGCTTGCCTAAAAGTGGTAATACACTTGCTTTCACCTCCTGGATTATGGGATTAATAGTGTGCTTCACACATCTTAACTCATGACACTTAATTCTCCAGAGAGTCCAGGGGTTCTGTGCCACATTGTGGGTCAAAACAGGAGGAAGGATTACACCTGATTCTGGAACCTCAACTGGAGCACTATTCCTCTCAGTACATTCTAGAGAGAATTAAACCACCTGCAACATAGGAGCCATAGTCTCAAAGTGTCTAAAGGGCTCACTCCCCACCTCTGGGATTTAATTTCTCTTTGCTTTGCTGGCTATATTGTTCTTGGTGGCTCAAGATACCCTTTAAGCTAAGTGGTACTTTGTTAAATAAAGATGTAAATGTTTATTTTCCAAATAAGTAAAATATTGAGTAAATTATACTCAGTTTGATGGCGATAGAGTTTCTGAGAAGATGATTAATCTTTTCTTCCTCTTTGCATTTATTTTGGTAGAAAATTCAAACAGTATTTATTTTTCAGATGGCAAGCCTCAGACAGTACTTTGTTTGCTTCCCCAAGATACATTTCACATGCTGTCAAGGCAGACTTTTTCCGAGTCCTGCTGGTGCTAATTGCCTTTATAGATCAAGTTGTTAAACTTGAGTTATAGTTTAATTATGCAGAAGGAGAATGCACGCTTGTCTACTCTATAAATGATTTCGTTCTGTTGTGGAATGAATGGGCTTTGTGGACCTGCTCCTCTAAGAGATTTCCAGCATTTTTTTAGGTCTTCCTTGATGTCTCTCTGAATCTTTATGCTATCCGAAAATGTCCACATCAAAAATATGTGAAATGAAAAACAAGAGATTGAAAATCCATTTGGTGAATAGAGTCACCAAAGAACATCAAAGCAAATCCAAGCATCTGTGGAATTTTCGCTCAGACTTTCTCCTCCTCTGTCTGGTATTCAGGGTAAGGATTCAGCCAGCCCAACAGGCTACTGCTGGGCCAACTGTTGTCTTTGAATCATAAATTCTGACTGTGCTAGAAAGTCTTAGTGGAAAATGGTGTGATCTCCATTCTGAGGAACTCAAGAGTGCTCGGTGTTGGGAAACAGATGAGCTTGTAGACACTTTCTTTCCCTGGAAAAAGTATGAAGTATCAGTATATATGATTACATTATATCAGAAAAGATATGATAGAGGCTTGAAGAGATTAAACAAGAGAGCAGGGGGGCAGGGCAGAGGGAAGTAAACCCAGGCAGTGTTTTTCACATAAACACTGATTATATTTCCTTCTAAAAAAGGTTGATCCCTCAATCCTTCTATGTACCCTTTCAGTGTGAAATCGTTAAAGAAAAAAGAAGAAAATTCACTGTAATCATTTTTACTACCAATACAATTTTAAGGTGATATGATAAAAAGTCAAGCTACCTCACTTTTAAAATTTCTTTTGTAAAGAAAGAAAAATATTTTTAAAAAATCAAATAGCACTTGCTGTTCATATCAGAGTTTAGTGTCTGATAAATATTCATGTACACACACACACCTTCTACAGTTTATGAGCATCCTTACTATGTGAGCTGTACTCAGCGTTTTCTATTCCATTAATAAAAGATGCTCTTTGCAGCCCCCTGAACAAACTTCACAATTCTTTTAGAGAACTGAACTGAGTAAGGTGATACCTATTCCCAGATGGAGTTATAGATTTTGTGGGTCCATTAGATTCCCCAGGAATGCAGAGCTGCAAGGAATCACTTTTGGTTATGGGAACAACTCCACTAACTCCTTTAATAAGATACATCTGTGCCCATTTTTCAAGACCCCTTCCTATAATTTCTTTGTATCAACCTCAACCCTGAGAAGCACCATCGGGTATTTTCACCTCTTCTTCAGCACATTAGTCTAGTAGCTAAGGTGCTAGCCATAAGTTGGCTTCAAGGTTGAATCTCCATACTCCCAAGAGTTCTTGATCATGCAGACATATAAGCTCAAAATGGTGATGAGTTATGAAGCACTACAAGAGCATCTATCTATCTATCTATCTATCTATCTATCTATCTATCTATCCATCTATCTATCTATGTTTCTCATACAGATATATGAAATATATATATATATATATATATATATATATGTGATATGTGATATATATAAGAAACCTATATATATATAATGTGATATATATAAGAAACCTAACTTAGCTGAGCCACATGTGTGGTGGAAATGATGATGATGAAGATGATCACATGAGAGGTCAGGGAGGAACATCAGAATGGCAGTCTGATACAGCACTGGCAGTCTGTAAATCTGGTGATGGAACATTTGAGGAACTGACCTGGGGAGCCAGCAGGTTGAGTGCCAAAGTATTTAAAGGAAGGGATTGGAACCTGCAGCATTGAGCAGACCATTGACAATAGTACAGGCCATGATAAGAAAGACGGTTTTTATTCTATTAAATATGGAAATGTTTTTAAAAGGAAACTGAATGCTGTTTTCTGCCTTTAGTTCTGTATATTTCTGAGATTCAATTTGAAATGTGCAAAAGGAAGAACTACAAAATGGTCTTTATAACACACTGAATTTTCTGGCATTTGATTCACACAATTGGAGAGAGTCTCAAATTGTCAGGATGCCTACTCATTTCCCCTCAAGTGCAACTGAGCATCTCAGAATAACATAATGATTAGGATCTTCATGCTGTGACACCACAGTGTTATCTTTCCAAACCTAGCATACGTTTCGTCTCTACCCCATAGGCTCCTCTGGATACCTGTGTTTTATGAGCTTATGTTTAGTGCAAGTCTGTATAGGTGAACTCAAATATTAGATAAGGCAATTGTGGGGGCCACTTTAACAGAAATCCAGATGAAATATTAAGATACTCAGATGATTCATACAACTTAAAACCCTGACTATGTTTCCTATCATATCACCGCAGTAGAGGCAGGACTATGCTTTACTTGGCTAGACAGGCAACAGAGAACACCAAGAGATGAGAATTGAAAAGATGATCTTATTAAATGGAAAAAATCTGTTCACATGCATTCACTTTTAATTTCACGTAGAAACTTTTAAAGTTGTTTTATTTTTAACTGTGTCTCTGTTTGCGAGTGTGTACCTGTGTTTGAGGATGTCTACAGAGATCAGAGGCATAGGTGACCCTGAGGCTGGTTATAAGCTTGGTTGTGAGCTGCCTGATCTGACTGTTGGAGATCAAATCTGCAAGAGCAATATGCTCTTTAAACCACTAAGCCATCTCCCCTACTGCAGAAACCACTATTTGTATGCATATATACAGATATATACATACATGCATATATTTATGTGTGTGAACATAAGAAAATAGTCTTTAAAGGCACACACCAGATTGTTTGTGGCATCTATTAGTGGAGGTAGGGAGAAGGAATAAGGAAGGACTTTGTTACTTAAAAAAATTGTTACTAGAAAAAGAATTATGTACGATTGAAAATTAGTAAGTGCTACCAGCTTAGGTACTATGTTAATGTTCTGGGTGCTTAGAGATAAGAAGGTATCTTTCAGTGGCAGGTATTAATGGAAGGCAACTTTAGGATAGAATGTTTTAAGACAGATAACATTGATGTGTAAGGAGAAATTACAGCCAAAAGCTTAATGGATATTGTGTGCATACCATGAAGCAGAGTATAAGGTAATATCTTCCTTATCAAGGTATAGCTCCTTTGTTAAGCTGCGGAGGAATATAAGACCAGATGGCATAGACTCATTTTGACTCCTGACCAAACAGTAAATTTTCTCCCACCTCTCCTTACAGAGTTGGTTTTGTTCATTACAGGATTATAATCGTCACTTTGGGAATAGACCTAGCACTGAGGCTCTCCTCCGGATGCTGGCCCACTGATTATAATAATTCTCTTTTAGCTTTACTTCCTCCTCTGTCTGGTAGTTTACGCTAGACATATCTTGGACCTGAATTCCGGTCACGAAATTATAGCATTCTGCTTAATGAGGCCAAATGCTAATTGCTCAAGTAAGATTATTAAGGGATGAAGTGGTACCCTAAAAAGTATTTAAAGCCATCTAACCCCCACTAAAGGCTCCCCTGGATGTACGTAAAGATCTCTGTATGTCACAGTAATTTCCTTTTTTAAAAAAGTTTGCTATTATGAAACTACTAATAGCAAACAAAAATGACAAAATAATATCTGAATATGAACTTAATTAGCAGTCTTATTTTGCTTCATGCTTACTTGATAGGAGAAATAATTTTTGTCAAACACTTGAAATGATGAACTTAAGGATATAAATATAATCAACGAGGAAAATGAAAACTCACCACAGGTTTTTAAATGAATATTATAGATGCAATAGCTTCCACATTACTGTGTTAATAGACTGTTATTCATTCTTAAACCATGATACATTCTAAACATGGGTCAAATTCTGTCAGCATGACTGTATCCATAGAGCTTAGTGTCTGAAAACAGTTCTGGTTGGCACATGATTCCTTTCTCAATGTCTTTGTGTTATGTTCCCATTCCTATTTTTCAGACCCACTATGAAAATGGAGAATATATCATCAGGCAGGGTGCAAGAGGAGACACCTTCTTCATCATCAGCAAAGGGAAGGTAAGCTTGAGCCATCCACACATTGCAGGAATGTATGCACTGAGTCTTGTGCTGTGTGAGTTGCCCCTTCTTCATCTGTAAATGGGTCTCCTAAAGTAGGATGTAAGAAAAGAAGGCAATTAACCTTGTGTCTAGAACCATGACACTAGATGCTACTGAGAAGTCTTAATAAACAGAAAGACATCCATCAGAAAAATTATACAATACAATACAATCTATCTAGTCTTTAAGGACAGCAAAATTCCTAAAATGAAATACCTGGCCCTTAAAATCTATGGCCTTAATTTGAATCTTCAGTAAAATTTACTTGTTTTACTTTTCTTAGGCAAATGAGTGAATGTTCTAAGGGTAACACTAATGTAAATATATGTATGTTGTATTGCAGCTTCATGGAGAATGTTAATTGAAAGCTAAGAAACTATTAAAAATGGTAAAGTATAGGAGGAGGGATAAAAACAGTTATGAGCATGTTTATGAGTGATTATGTATTCTTACATTATTTTAGGTTTTAATCTATGTGAATCTATTATAATACTTTCTTTTGAACTATGAAATTAAATAAACTTACTTAGACCAATTCTCTAACCTCATTAGTCAAATACTTGAACCTAACATTTCTTTTTAAGTTATCCTTAACGAGTATCTCTGTGTATCAGTGTTGATGATAGTGAAGGAAAGGCAGATAGAGAAGACTTACATGCCTGTTTCATTTTTGTAAAGTGAACTCATTTCTTAATATTTGCACGAAATGCCTAACTCTAGGGCTGTAGAACTCACATCAGAATGCTTACAGAGATGGTGTAACCAGGAAGTGAGGAAGACTCTAAATTTTAGTGACTTAGATTTTAGGTGATTCTTGTATGCTAATTTTGAATCAATATTACACAATAATATCCACATTTTTAAATCATATCTATTCATTAGATTAATATCTGGAAGCCTAATATAGAAATATATATCATAGACTGGTTTCCTAACAGGTGTCGTAAGAAACCAGTGACAAAAGCTGAATAGGAAAAGGTGCTTATAACCAGGCCAAAGACCTGAGTTCAGTGCCTAGGACCCACATGGTAAAGAGAATCAACTTCTGCAAATTGTCCTCAGACCTCCACTTGGACACGTTAGAACTAGGGCATATGCATATCTACCCACACATGTACACACACACACACACACACACTAAATAAAAATTTAATATTTTTAATGTCCAAACACAGTTATTCTTAAAATCATTTTTGCATTTTCCAGTGTTAGGGGATAAGAAAATGGTAACACACTATGGTTTGCACAGCAGACAGGGAAACTTTGTTACTTACTGTCTTCTTTGTTAGCTAACACCAGTTAAAGAATCAGGGAGATAAAAATCCTCATGGTTATTAGCCATACAAGGTTCACAGGAGGATGTTCTAACCTGGAGTCTGGCTTTGCTTTATCTTTCCAAATTGCTTAGTCTTTGCTGCCAAAATGTGGCTACACTTAGCCAATAGGAAGGACACCCTGCAGTCATTTATGAGTGTCCCATTTACTGCAAATTGCCTGTATTGCCTGAAGGAAGTGGAAGTTTGTAACCCATTTTAGCGGAAAACAGGTGTGTTAGTGGTACTGTGTTATGAGCTTTGTACCATGTATAAATAGAAGCACTTGGAGATAGACCCCTGGAGGCAATTACTCTGGCAGTACTTCGGTGCAATCCTACAAACTGAGAAATCATCATGATATATTAGATTCCTTTGCCCAGTCAATTTTTTTCTAAACCACCTACAGAATTTTTCTTAGTTCCTCCGCTCATACACATTATTTGTTATGATGCCCAACTCTGACAATTGTGACATTCATTATACTAATTATGATAATGATACAATAAAATTACACTAGTCTCCACTGTGTGGAACAGGAAAGCAAAGAGTAAGCTGTGGTTCTAATGTAAATATGCTATAAAATTAGAATTTTATAGAACTTATTTATTACAGGTAAACCAACATAAGCTTCATTCCCATGAATTTATAAGTACTTTTTCCAAAAATTATATTTTCATTTATTCTGTGTGAAAGTGTTTGTGGGAGGGGGAGATGCATGATTCATGTGTCACTGTGTGTGTGTGTGTGTGTGTGGTGTAGGTCAGAGGACAACTTGCAGTGGTTGGGAGTTGAGGGTTGGTCCTTTCCTTCCATGATGTGGGTCCCAGGGATTGAGCTCAAATAATCAGGTTCCTCTGCTCACTGAGCCCTCACATCTGTTCTGGCAAAGATACTTTTTTTGTTACCACTTGTCTCAGCTACATATATATTGCTATGTTACTGTTACTAAGGCAAACAGTAAAAGAAAACATTTTAATTTGGGGCTTATGGTTTTAGAGGGTTGGATTCCATGATGACAGAGCAAACACATGGCAGTAGGAACAGCTTAGAGCTCAGATTCATCTGTCAGTTTAGAGGCAGAGAAATTAGAGACACTAAGGATGGCCCAAGTCTTTTGAAACCCCTAGACTAGACCCCAATGACAGATTTCCTTCAACAATAGTCCACTGTCTCATCTTTACCAAACCATTTCACCTATTAGGGACCAGGTATTCAATCATGTGAGCCTACATAGGGCATTGATACTCAAAGTACCACAGTGCTGAATAGAAATTGTCTCTTTAAAGAAAATGATATTTGATAGGAGACACACTACAGTGACTGTACAGCAAGAAATGGATTTCCCCTTGTTTAGTTCTGTTTATCTAAATGTAAACTATATTTTATTCTGAATACATGCACACAAAAGAGAAACAGTATACATTTTTAAAAACTTATTTTTTATCTCTTAAAGGAAATGTACAGATATTTTTTTCTAAAATTTGGGACTCAGTGATTACAGCAGCAATGTCTAACTCAGAAAGTAAATTTATTCTGTATTTTTTAGTTGGCATGCTCCTGTTCTCTGGGAACATGGCATTTTTTATTGGATATTTTATTTATTTACATTTCAGATGTCTTCCCTTTTCCCCATTTTCCCTCCGTAGAAAACCCGTATCCCATCTCTCCTCCTCCTTTTTGCTATTATACCATTTTAATTACATGCAAGCATTAAGGTCAGTTCTAGGTTGAGGAACTAGCAATACAGTAGGTGCAAATAGTCAAGGAACAAGCAAGAAAATAAACATCGATAGTCAAAGAACAAGTAAGGCAATAAACAAGTTCTGTGAACACTCCCATTATCACCGTTTCTAAGGGCTTATCAGGATGACAAAAATATCTGAGCCTGCTTCCCTGTCCTAGCCCAAAGTAATCTTCATGTCTGAAGCCTACTTCCTTGTTCTAGCCTAAGATTTAGATTCCTGCCTGAAATTACTTCTTTGTTCTAGCCTAATGTCAGATTCCTGCCCGAAGCCCACTTCATTGTTCTTGGTCAATGTCAGATTCCTGCCTGAAGCCCACTTCATTGTTCTTGGTCAGTGTCAGATTCCTGCCAAACAGCCCATTTCCATGTCCTTGGCCCATGTAAGATTCCTGCCAAGCAGCCCCAAAAGCTCTCCACCTCTCCCCCCTTTTTTATTTCATAAACAGGACTGAGCCTGCCTTAGGTAGTTCTGACAAGAATGCTTTCCTTACCCATCATGGAGTGTGCATTAACAAAAGCAATACACTTCTGTCTTAGGTTGGTAAGGCTCTGTGCAGAATCTTACCTGTCCTTGGATTGCCAGCCTGTTAAATTAATAACTCTGTCTGGGGTCCATTTTCAGTTTCAAGTCATGTACTTTGGCTGCCAACATGTTGATGTTGTTAAAGACAAGCTTTAAAATGATGAGCAGGAATAATAGTATTCCCAGGCCAAAAAGGGCTAGCATGATCAAGTTATATATGCTATTCTTGAAGCTTGACCAAAATGAAAATGCTGACCTCAGGCCATTAGTAATTTTATCAGCAGTATCTGCCACATCAATGCTCAGCAGAGCAGCCTTCTTTAAATACATAAGCTCACTATGCAAAGTTAAAACATCCAGAGAGGTGTTAGAATTATGCCAAATATACTGCAAGTGTCTTTAAACTTCTTCCTAATTATAATGACGACCACTGTAAATTTTAGAACTAACACCAATCCAATGGTATTTGGCATAACACTCAAGATGGCTCCTTACTCTTAAACTCTGAACCTCCTTCCAAGAATTTGAATAGGATAAATGGCATCAATCCATTGTTCCAAATGCCTATCTAAATCTTCTTGTATATTCAACAGATTAGTAACATTTTTTGCTAAATGATTGACAAAAGTAGCTGTCTTAACTTCCTGTGTCAAAGCAATTGCAAGAGTAGTGGTGCTAGCAATTAATGTAATTAAAGCCGTTATACCAGCAATAATCAAGCCCACTACCCTCTTGCTTCTGCTTAAAGCCTCACTCACTTCTTCCAGTACTCGCAAGGTTTTTTCAGAAGACCAAGGTTCTGTGATACTCAGGACAATAAAACAAAAGCCAGTTGATAGACCTCCGTAACTGACACTTTAACACTAACACAATTAGAAAGTGTACAATCAATGTATCTTACATTAAATACTGTAGAAGAAACAAAAGTATTTTTAACTTGACAATTAAAAAAGCCTTAACACTTGTTTGAAATCCAGATCCTGTCCCAACTTTATCTCTTGCTAACATAACATCATAGAGAACTGCATCTAATATCCACATATGTCTCTGAAAATGTTCAGAATGAGACTTCCAAATGAAGACTGTTATTTCCAATATTGGACTGATTTCTAGACCAGTATATGATTGAATCTAAATAACTGGTCACATTTAAGAAAATACAAGAATCATAATAACTTTTCTTCTTGATTCTCTGTTCTACAAGCTCTAAAAACTTGAGGCAAGGCAGCTTGTACCATTAGGAGTATAGGTAAGCTAAGGTGGGTCAGGAACATACGTCCACTACAGCTTCCCAGTCACCATTGTCACGGTACTCAGCAAGCTCACAGGTCAGCATCATTCTTTGTCCCAGCATGTATCACCCATCTCTCTGGCAGTCACCATCCTCCTTCAGCATCCTGCAGAAAAAAACACAAACATGTCCTCTTCCCCATATTAAATACCCATAATCCTGGGCATTTTAGAGCTCCTGGGAGTCCAGCTTCCTCTGGGTTTTAGGGGATTGGGTGCAGAGCTGGCGCCCTATGAATGTTCTAGGCACAGGTGCAGACCAGATGGAACATGGCGTTTTTAACAGAGAGAGAAGGTATCAAAGGATTCTGTAAATAATTCCAGCAGTGTTACACTAACACCTTACCTCTCTGTAATGAAACATTATGAAATGGAAACAGGGTTATTAAATTTCAAATTAAAGTTCCTAAGATATGGGACTAGGGAGGTGGCTCCATTGTCAAGAGAGCATACTGCTCCTGGAGAGGACTTGAGTTTGGTTCCCAGTACCCACATCATGTGGCTCTCTGTAATTTCGGCTTTAAGGGATCCTATGGCTCTAGCTTGTACAGACACATACTCTCTCACACACACATAACTGCCTCCCTCAACTCCTCCCACACATACACACCCAGTTCATCGACACCTATCATTAAAAGTGAATAAAAATACAAATCTTAGCAATGAGCCCAAGACAGAGCTCCATGCTTAGTAGAGTTTCTAAGTCGGAAGGAAATGTTGATTTACCAAGTTCTAGTGAAGCGTGAACAAGTAGAATTCTAAGCCATTATTCGCTAAGATTGAAAAATTAAAATATTCTGAAAACCAATTTGGCTACTTCTTAAAAAGTTAATAAATATTTACCATATGGTCCACTAGCTTCATATTTTATTTATTCTAGAGAAACAAAAATGTAGTTCTCTCAAAAACATGTCCACAAGAATTTGCAACAGGTCCATCCAATAGAAAAATAGTCAAAAAGAGTAACTGGATATCATCTTAACCAAATATAATCTGAAACAAATTGTTTTTCCTCCATTACCATCAGGAAAATGTTCCCTAAACCCCAGTCTTCAAGGCAACAATCAACCTTAAAGTACTAAGCCATAACAACAGCTCTGTCTTTATGAACTTTCATTCACAGACAGTGGAACATAGATATTTGTGCTCAGAATCAACACCTAAAGAACTAAGCATGTTTAGTTTATTAACTTGTTCTTTACTTGTGTAAGCATTGACCCTTCTGAAGCCCTTACTCATTGGTGCCTGAAAACAAGTATAGAAATATTTGTAGAACCTTTCTTGATAATATAGTAATAACATAGAGGAATATAACTGGACCTACATCTTCACCTGGAGAATTTCCAAGCTGTATACAACTTATGTAATAGGATATCATGCAAATAGAGGAAATGAAGTTGAGCCACTTATATTAACATGAATGAATCAGAACCTTTGTGAGTATGGGACCAGTAACTTCTACTTTAAGTAAGACTCCCCACTGAAGGAGTCTTTTTTTTCATCTATAAAAGCCTCATCACCATGCAAATCGGTCTTTCTATAATATAGCTTAGTGATAACTGCCAGGGTCAAAACCAAATTTTCATGCTTTGAAACACTGTGCAGAGGAGTAATCAAATGGATCAGTGAAGAATAATAATTGAATTCCCTCTCACAAACTTGCACAAACTTTCTTACTTGTAATAAAAGTTCTGGTCATTGGCATCCTGTGTCTAGGTTAAGAAGCCTAAGCATGTTGTTTTTAATGTATTTAAGTGCTTGGCTTGTCTCAGTAAATTAATTTTCGACTTTATTGTATTTTACAGGTAGGTGAATTTTAACTATTTAAATTTTCTGGATGACAGGTGGTATTAATATCATTACTATATATCAAAGAAGAAGTGAATGAATAAAAAAGTACTATTTAGTGTAATTATATTTCTTCTAACAACAGGAAAACATCCTTGAAAACCAAAAGAAAACCATTGACAAGATATATCATTAAATTCATCACAATGGTTGCCTCTATGTAGGTAATAAAATCAGGAGCAGCAATGAAGATTTACTGTAATGAAATATTTAGGATAAATTCTTAGGAAAGCATAGAATTTGCAAGCATGCAGCTGATTTAGCTCAGTGGTTCTCAACTGTTCTAATGCTGCAACGCTTTAATACAGTTCCACATGTTATGGTGAACCCCCCAACCATAAAATTACTTCACTGCATAATGGTAATTTGCTTCTGTTATGAATCCTAACATGTTATCTAATATGTGATTCCCCCAATGCGACCCATAGGTTGAGAATCACTTATTTAGATGCTCATCTCTCTTTGTAGGTGAATGTCACTCGAGAAGACTCACCAAGTGAAGACCCAGTTTTTCTTAGAACTTTAGGGAAGGGAGATTGGTTTGGAGAGAAAGCCTTGCAGGGGTAAGTAGATCAAATGTGTAAGTACTAAGTACTGTCTTAGTTATGATTTTATTGCTGGAAGAGACACTATGCCAAGGCAACTCTTATAAAAGAAAACATTTTATTGGAGCTGGCTTACAATGTCAGAGATTTAGTCCATTATCATCATGGTGGGAAGCATGGAAGCATGGAAGCAGACATGGTGCTGGAGGACCTTAGAGTTCTGTATCTTAATCTGAAGGCAAACAGGAAGAAACTGTCTTCCAAAGGCAGCCAGGAGAAGGCTCTGTGTCACACTGGCCAGACTTAAGCATATATATCAAAGTCCTGCCTCCACAATGACACACTTCCTCTCACAAGATTATATGTCCTCCAATAAGGTCACACCTCCTAACTGCCACTTTCATGGGCCAAGCATATTCAAACTGCCACAGGTACTATATACAATGTAATTAAAGTTGAGATTTTAGTGAAATGTATCCCCCCCCCCTTTTTTAGGGACCATGCTAATAATAGACCCAGACATTTGGCTGTTGTAGTCACTAAATTCCAACTGGATTTGTAATCTGTTTATGTAGGCTATGGGATTGAGTAAACTTCTAATATATACTTATGGTCTTAATCAGAACGTTTTGCAGCTTTGTAGTCCTTAAGTTTACAGAGCTCATTTTCTTCTTATCTGGTGATCATGCATTTGCTATTATATTTTTCCCAATATCAAAACTGGAAGAAAGCATGTTTAATGGGTTCCCAGTAGGATGCAGTAAGCACTTTCTTCCTAAAATGAAGCCCACAAAACTCCTGGATTGATCTCTCTTGTCTTTGATTATTTAATGTTCTACATAGGGCTCTATAGAATAATACTGCTTCACTTCAGTGGTCCAAACCTCATCTGCTTCTATGTAAAACAGTGTTGTTTCTTGTAGATAAAACCAAAATAAAGGGGACAAGCAAGCCTCAGAAACTTTTATAATCATCTGCAACTGAAATTATGATTATGGTGCTGGAAATTTAGTCATAACTGGGAATCAAGAGATTTTTTTTTTGTAATTTCATGCCACTGGATATGGGTGTCAAATAAAGATGACTTTCATAGTTGAAAGCAATGTCCTAAAAGGTACAATACTATGAAAAGTTCACCAAGTTTTGTTCTTTTTAGTATCTTCTCTGAAGAATAGTATTTATTTTTGACAGCTTCATATATGTATATAAATACATATATATTATGATAATATTCAATTCCTTATTACCCTCTTTTTTGTACCTTCATTTACTCTAAACTCCTACTTCCTAATTAGTCTCCCCCCAATAGCTACCCCATGGATTAAAGTGTAGCAATAGTTTACAGTCTGTAGCTCCTTAGGAAGGATAGGGCATCATGGAGTCCCCCACTCTCCATGATGGAATGTCATAGGTACTGTCTTGTACTTGTACTTATATCTGTTGTTCTTCCTGTGTTCCTGAATTCAGTTGCTGAATAATCTCTGGCAGTGATTCATGGCAACTTTTCCCTATTCTCTAGATCTTTCTTTTCCCACCTTTTCTTCCATCATATTCCCAGGGACTTGGATTGGGAACAATATTGCTGCCTCATTTAGGGCTGGATACTCAATGGATTTGTTCTCAGCAACTTTGCCAGTTATAAGTTCACACATTGCTACTCTATGTAAAAAGGAACTTCTTTGCTCCAGGCTGATAGTAGCACTAGACTGTGTATATAAATAAAAGAATTTAGAAGGAAATTTAATATGTTTAAAGTAGTGTGTTTCCTTCTTGGGCCCATGGCCTTCCCAGCATGAGGCTCTGACTAGGTTTACAGTATCCGATGTGTATTACGCTCATAGAGTGGGCCTCCAATCCAACCCCAGAGCAGTTGGTTACTTCGAATAAGGTCATGCCATTATTGCACTAGTGGGAATATCTTACCTGGAAGGTTGATATGCAGTAAGCATATCTGTATCTGGGTGAAACTACTCATAGATTTTTACCCACTTAGCAGCTTTTGTAGTACCCTGCTGTACTCTGAATGCTAGCCAGCCTGAAAGAAATCTCCTATTCAGTTCCAATTTGATTTCTCTGTCTTCTTTAGCCACTATGTTATCTCTTTGGCCATATCTTCTTAGGAAGGGTGGAGTCCCATGGAGTCCCCTGTAACTATGGGATTTTTCTGTTGTGTTTTAGTTCCAGAATAGTGACTCAGAGGCCTATTATTTATTTTAAAATGCCTAGGCCATAAGTTAGCCTTGTTCACACTAGCTCATAACATATACTAACCTATTTGTACTATACTATGCCTGCCACATGCCTAGTTACCTCTCCTCAATTTCATATGTCTGACTTGTTCCAATTCTGAATGGATAACACCTTCCCACCCTGTGTGCTTGACTCTTTCCCACAGTTCCTTTTCTCTCTCTGCCAGATGTCCCACCTTCTAATTCTCCCTCAGCTAATTGGCCATCAGATTTTAATTGGCAGGTGATGCTTCTACCCATAACACAGGATATTATTTGTCCCCTCTATCTATCTAATTCTGGTAAATAACCAAGAGGTACTGAAATAACAAACATTCTTTTGGGGGAACTATCTGACTAAGTTTTAGTATATTCTTGGTACCAAAAACATATTTTGCACATATTCTACCCTCTCTCCTCAACTCTGGAATGTCCCTCCTCCTCCGTACTCACCTATTCTAAGCACCTTCTTAATTTTTATCAAATGTCTGCTAATTCATAAAATCGTCTTTTTATCTTCATTTAACCTCACTTCTCAGCCATAGATTTTATACACTTGTGTTGTCGACTTCTTCTAACTGCGTAAATCGCCCACCTATTCAGAACCTTATGTATGAACATTCTTTAGAATTCGTTTAATTATTTAAAATGTATCAGTATCTTGCCATCAGCTCCTCCATTATCCTGGTAACTTGTCTAGGTCTATAAATGAATATGACTTTAATAAAAATAATTCCCAGATATCTACCCTTTGATTTGATCTCAGAGTTTAGCGTTAGTTTTATATCCCGAATCTTCTTGTTGAATGCACGATGACTAAATGTAAATTAAAAGAACCTCCCTAATGATGCTCTGACCACTAATACCTTATGTTATTATTTTCTTCACTGCCTGGTTGGTGATTCAGTATCTCAGAGAATCTCAGGGGTCCAGGTTAGTTGGTCTTCCTATGGGGTTGCCCTCCTCCTCAGCTTCTTCCAGCTTTTTCCTAATTCAACCACAGGAGGCCCTGGCTTCTGTTCACTGATTGGATGTAATTATCTGTATCTGTCTCTGTCAGCAGATTATTGGGCCTCTCAGAGGGCAGCCATACTAGGCTCCTGTCTGCAAGCACACAACAGAATCAGTAACAGTGTCAAGGTCCCAGGCCTTCCCTTGAGCTGGATCCCAACTTGAGCCTGTCAGTGGGCCTCCTTTTCCTCAGGCTCTTCTCTATTTTTGTCCCTGCAGTTCTTTCAGACAGGAACAATTCTGGGTCAGAGTTTTTGACTGTGGAATGGCAACCCTATCCCTCCACTTGATGCCCTATCTTTCTACTGGAGGTGGGCTCTACAAGTTCTCTCTCCCCACTGTAGGGCATTTCATCTAAGGTCCCTCCTTTGAGTCCCGAGAGTCTCTCACCTTCCAGGTCTCTGGTACATTATAGAGGATTCCCCCCCCTCCACCTCCTACGTCCCGAGGTTGCCTGTTTCCATTCTTTTTGCTGGCCCTCAGGACTTCAGTTCTGTTCTCCCCACCTGATCATGTTCCTCTCTTCCCCTCCCTGTCCCCTTTCCCACCTAGGTCCCTTCCTTCTTCCCTCTCCCATGATTGCTTTCTTCTTCCTTCCAAGTGGGATTGAGGCATTCTTACTTGGGCCCTTTGGCTTATTAACCTTCTTGAGTACTATGGGTTGTGTCCTGGGTATTCTGTACTTTTTTTTTTTGGCTAATATCCACTTGTTAGTAAGTACATGCCATGCATGTCCTTTTGAATCTGAGTTACCTCATTTAGGCTGATATTTTCTAGTTCTATCCATTTGCCTACCAAACCCATGATGTCTTTGTTCTTAATAGCTGAATAGTATACCATTGTGTAAATGAACCATATTTTCTGTATCCATTCTTCTCTTGTGGGACATCTGGATTGTTTCCATCTTCTGACTATCATAAACAAGGCTGCTATGAACATAGTGGAACATGTGTCCCTGTGGCATGGTGGAGCATCTTTTGGGTATATGCCCAAGAGTGGTTGGTATAGCTGGGTCTTCAGGTAGATCTATTTGCAGTATTCTGAGGAACCTCTAGATTGATTTCTAAAGTGGTTGTACCAGTTTGCAATCCCACTAGGAATGGTGGAGTGTTCCTCTTTCTCCACATTCTTGCCAACATGTGCTGTCACCTAAGGTTTTGATCTTAGCCATTCTGATTGGTGTAAGGTGGAATCTCAGAGTCACTTTGATTTTTATTTTCCTGATCACTAAGGACTTTGAACATTTCTTTAAGTGCTTCTTGGCCATTCAAGATTCTTCTGTTGTACATTCTCTGTTTAGTTCTATACCCTATTTTTTGATTGGGTTGTTTGTTTTTTTGGTGGTTAGCTTCGTGAGTTCTTTATATATTTTGGATATTAGCCCTCTATTGAATGTGGGTTTATTGAAAAAAAATTTTCCAATTTGTAGGTTGCCAATATGACCTATTGGCTATGCCCTTTGCCTTACAGAAGCTTTCCAGTTCCATGAGGTCCCATTTATCAGTTTTTTAAAAATTAATTTCTGTAGTCTGTGTGTGTGTGTGTGTGTTTGTGTATGTGTGTGTGTGTAATGTACGTAAATGTATTCTATGTATATGTAGAGAAGTGGAAGGTTTATCTTAGAGCCAGAAGATGACAGCATTGTGGGTCTTTGGAAACCAACTCTGGTCCTCTAGAAAAGCAGAAAGTGCTCTTTGCTCCTGAGCCATCTCTAGCTCACAAAAATGACTTCTCATTAACAGAATTGGAATACTTGTTGTCCGTACTTATATGAAGAAA